ATAGAATAGTTTCAGTTGAGCACATGTTGCAATAGATGTTCTCATTTACATCAAGCATATTTTTAATCTAAATTTCATGTGCTATTAACAAGAAAAAGTACTTTGTATAAAGTTTTGAAAATACTTAACTAATGATCTTACCTTACACACACTACATAAGTGCTACTGAACTTAATGCCTTATTTGACATATCTAACCTGTGGGGAGAGGGTAACAGCTCATTTGCAGTTTTCAGTGTTAGGACAAGTTGAATTGGTATGCTCTGGAATGCTCAACAGATACAAAATCAGAGCCCCAAACCAGACACCAAGATCTTTATTTCTGCTCGTTTTTCATTAGTTCATGTATGTATATGAGATGCGTGCTTGGATTCTTGCAAAAGGCCTTTCCAGAGAAAAATGGGGGTCAAAATCTGATGCAAAAACCTCACACTTTTAATTCATAAAAAGCATAGTGGTGGTCTGGATTTACTCATGGTGTGAGAGTAATAATAATAGAAAAACTGATCACATTGATAGCCTGTTTGCCTTGCAAGCCTGGTGTATGGAGAGGAGGCTGGCTTTTTAATGGGAGGGGTGATCTTGGTAAGCCTTTTGGTGCCCCTCGTGTCGCTGTGACCTGGCGAAGGGCACGTGTCCCTACACGGTAAGCGTGTGCACTCCCTGCCTCCATGGCGTGTGTACATTTGGTTATTCAGTGCCAGTAAATTAGCCAGCAGGCCTTTAAAGTACAAAGCAGGTAGCGTGCAAACCAGCAATATTTAGCCAGCGTTGTAGCAGCTAGAGAGCCTTTTACAGTCCTTTCCTTTGTGTAAGAGGTGTTGTTCAAATGTAATGCGGTTGTCAACAGTAATTATCGATTCCTCTGCTTTATTGAACTCTCTATAAAGCCCTGCCCTTGGTTCTCTGCGCAGTTAAGGACACAAGATGCCTCGGTGGCTCGTGTTAGCTGTTGGTGACATTCTGTCGGGGGATGCCCACGGCGCAGTGGGCAAGGGGTTGATGTAGCCGGGCTAGCAGAATGTTGTGCTGGGGCCAGTAAGTCCTGTTGGTCAGTGCAGCCGCTCAGGCACAGCCCTGGTTTTGCAGCTTCAAGGCCAGGGCAGCCTCCAGGAAGGGGTGGGACACAGAACAAACGCACAAGTGCATGAAACTTGGACATTAGTTGTGTTTTAGGAATCTGGCTTGAGGGAGTTGTAACTGGGCAGGACTACCAGTATCATGATGAACAGCATGAAAGCTGGGAAAAAAAAATTGCAACAATGTGCCCGTACTTGACAGGTCTTAGAATTAGATTTAGCGAGACCGAGAAACACATATCTTGCTTAGAGAAACTGCAGATTAAGTGTTTATTAAAGCAAGGATTTTAAAGAACTTAGGAAACATTGCTGGCATCATCATTGTAGTATTACAGAGCACTTCTTTAACAAAAAAACCACTATTTTCTAAGAACAGACTTTATACGTTCTCTATCCTGTGCTGAATAGAGATGCTTACAAGAAGTCCTTACTGTTATTTTGCTGAAGAATGGGAGTTTTCAGCAGTTGGTCCAAATCTTCTCTTCTCCAACTGCAAATATAAAGAACAGATAAGACTGACTGAGCATACATGAATGGAAAGTGCAGTTGTCTCACTCTCAATGTCGTGTGTGACTAACAAGTATTTGTTACATGTAATAGTGGAAAGTATTAGTTTCCTGATTGACTTTCAGAAAATATTAACACTTTTTCCTCTTGTTTTTAATAGCTGGGGTTATTGTATGGATAGCAAAACTTTTTATTTAGGTATTTCATTGATGTTAATCAAGGTAAATAATTTGTTTCGTTGACCTTTTTCTTAACTCAAGATGGTATTTGAAATTGAAGTGGAAAAGAAATTATTGTGGTGGTGTTTTAATTAAAGTACTAATTTGTATGTAAACTCGAAGCACTACCTTTGGCAAGACTATGATGAAGCACGGTGATGAAACCTGACAGGCTTAGGAATTTGTTTCTTTGTATACGAAAGGAAGGTTGCCAGTTTTTTTCCTTTGGTATTGGCAGACATGAAGCTTTTGGTACTATGTTGATGCTTGAAGAGCATTACTAATTATAAAAAGCAGTTCAGCAAACTTTGCTTAGTTCTGGCAAGCTATCTGACTTAATTGTTAAATGATTCAAACAGTTTTGTAGAAGAATCTACTTTCTAAAACTGTTACTGATTTGCATTGTTCGTTGCAAAATTTAACAGTAGGAAAATGTTTCATGATATGACTTTGAGATGATTTGCCTTTAAAATAAGAATGCTGTTGACATATTATTTATTTTCAAACCACCTCTTTCATAAGTAGTCTTCTTTCAGCTTCATTTCATTCATGTGTTTTGCCTACCAGTCCCAGAAAGTCCCAGGGTGAAAAATGTACTTTATTAGAACAGTTGGATTTTCTCTCCAAAGTTTGTTATTTATTTTACGTTTATAAAAATACAGCAAAACCTTTTTGGTTCTTGTTTTGTGTTAAGACAGCAGTGTGTAAACCAGTTCTGTAAAAATAAAAATATTTTGTTGATTGAGTTGCAGAAATTTACATGGCATTCCT